CCTCCACATGTGGGTTTAAAATTTGACTTGTGTATTATACGGTATATGCTTGAAGCACTCATACTCTCTCTTTCTCCCCCTCTCTTTGCGAACATTGAAGAAAACATATGGGAAGACTAAACACAGGACAACAGTCTTGCTGCAGCTTTTTCTTCAGTCCTTACCTTTATATTTTTTTTTACAGCAATGCACTTGGGCCAGATTGTTTTATGAAAGTGTCATATTTTTGGTGGTAAAAGTTTTACATGAGGTTTCTGTATCCTGTGTTTATTATATACTGTAGTTAATTTATAGGTTGTGCATTATGCTATTTAATATTAAGCAAGATTTACTGTATATAAGGCAGAGTGGTGGAGCCTTCTTTGGGCCAAGATTTAATTTAGTTGATTTGATGTGTCTAATGTTTATTTGTTGAATTTTTTCCTAAATGTGAGTGAGCTGAGGAATGAATGATCACTGATGGAGTGATATCTTTGAGAAGGGAACTTCCTGAGTGAAACTGCTATGACTTCATGTCTTGTGATGTAATAGTTGTCTTTGAGCTTTTCTTGATGTTGGGCAAAGTGGAGAATCCAGAGTTCTGTACGTTGGTCTGATTAATGCTGTTTAACCTGACTGAACAGGCACCAGGCTATGATTAGTGGATGGAGGATCAAGCCTCTACCTTTTGCTTGTTCTGAATAACCCACATGGGTAGCACTTGATAAAATACATTGTACATTGGTCTTTGTGTAAGAGTAAGGCCACTGACATCTCTCTAGTGTTGAAGACTCTGCTGAAATGACAGGTCCAGCCAGGACGTGTCGAAGCTCGAGACGAGTCGCCTTACGGGATCTTCTACCAGGTCCAGAAGTCGGAGATAGGATGGGCAGCAGGCCATCCAAGAGAGAGGTTCATATTCAAGGTGAGAGTGAACTTGTGCCTCCAGCGAGAGAGAGAGAGAGAGAGAGAGAGAGAGAGAGAGAGAGAGAGAGAGAGAGGAGAAGAGAGAGAGAGAGAGAGAGGGAGAGACGTATGAGAGAGAGGAGGAGATGGAGAGAGGGAAGTGAGAGAGAGATGCGCCTTTAGCCCTATGAGTTGTTGGTAGTCTTGCTTACAGGTTCACTTTTGTTCCATGTTTATTACAGAGTAGATTTCTATCAAGATGATCTAGTCTCATGAATGCTAAATCTCTCTCATCTTCATATCAGTGTTAGTAGTTTCATCTGTCTAGTGATCATTATCTTTGCCTTCACATTAGCAAGTGTAATTTGCTGTCACTGGCCTCTGGATGCTATGTCACCTTACCTTGGTGAAGGGTGTGTAGTAGCTCAAGTACCTGATTTAAGGGACTATTTCCCTGATGTTTTGTCAGCCTACCATGGTGGCAAGGTTTGAGTAACCTCAGTGTCTCATTAAGAATCTAGTATTCATTTTTCACCTATAGAGTGAAAAGATTTCCTCTCTTGTCAAGATTTTGCTGTGACTTACAACATTTACTTGAATTATGGATGTGGTTTCGGCTGTGACTATGTTGTACTTAGGATTGCTTTGATTATATCATAAATAAGTCTATATTATGACAAGAAATTAGCTATGAAATAAATTGTTACTGAATGGTGAGTAAAAAAAATTAGTGGCAGTAAATTAATATTGATGTCAGCAGTTTTAATTAAAACTGAATAAACAAACAGTTCTCCGCTCAACACTAAATACAGTTTGATAATTAGATATGACAGAGCTCAGTCATGCCAATCACTTGAAAGTTATGAGGTGGGACCAACAGCTAATCACAAGTTAATACTACACACACATTCCCTAATACCAGATGAAACACTGAAGAGTAAATACCAAGACGTATTTCTTTGTTACAGCCAGGTTTCAGGAAATTTTTAATTTTTGCTTCCGTATTTTTTGATATGTAAAAATTTATTAAAGATAAAGTTTCGTGCTGTATTACCCCTAAGAGTTTAGTGCTTCCCCATGATTTTTTTTTTTTTTTTTCTTCAACAAGTCGGTCGTCTCCCACCGAGGCAGGGTGACCCAAAAAAGAAAGGAAATCCCCAAAAAGAAAATACATTCATCATCATTCAACACTTTCACCACACTCACACATTATCACTGCTTTTGCAGAGGTGCTCAGAATACAACAGTTTAGAAGCATATACGTATAAAGATACACAACATATCCCTCCAAACTGCCAATATCCCAAACCACTCATGATTATAGTAATAATTGTAACTACCATTCTTTCCTTAAGCTTTCTGTGCATGTTTTCAGTCTGATTTTGAAGCATCTTTCCGGCAGGTCAATCCCTTTACTGTGATGCATATTTTAATAACAAGTCCTAGGCTACAGACTTAGTTTTGTGTCATGGAGTTTATTAATTGCTGGGTTATCTGCAGAGACCCTGATGACTTTTATGGAGAAAATTTTGCGAGAGTGATTTGGAGTATTGAAGGGATAGTGATGGTTTTAACGTGTTATGATTTATTTATTGTTTTTAAGAATATTCTGTGCTTTTTGTACTTGTGGTTGTAATGAGTGTGTTGTATGGTGTGAATGTAAGTTGTGTAATGAATGGTGTACTGAATGACATCTTGGTTTTATTACTCTGAAAACTCGACAACCCTCTTCTACCTTCCTTAACTCTTCGAGGGGATGGGAAAATGGTGTCTTGATAGGCTCTTGATTCAAGGAATGGAGCTTTCTTTTCCACAGATCAAACCTGTCTACCTTTTCCCCCTCAGTGATGGATCACCTGTTTGGCCTTATCATCTTGTAAATCTATTATTATTATTAATATAGCTATTTTACAACATCTGCTGTCTTTTGCTCAAAGAAGGAAATGTATTTACCAGTATTCATTCAATAACTGTTTTGCCAGAAGTGCTCGAATATCACAGTTCAATTGTCCATCTGAATTGTGACATCCTCTAAATGAATATTCACTAATAATCACATACAAGCGGGTCCAGCTTTACAGCGATTTGCTATTGCATAGGTTTTCAATTATACCCGTTCTTCATTTATTCATACTTCCTACAATAAATATATTCACTAATGGCTAAGGACAAAAATATTTAAAGGTAAGTAATATGCATTTTTAGGCCTAGCTCTATTGCTCACTTAATGTATGATAGTGTAAAAATGATATCAGGCTTTTATATGCATTTGTAAGTGAAAAATGGCTATATTTCACTTTACAGCAATGTTAGTCTTTACAGTAACTTATCCTGTTGTATAAGCAGGGCCCTCCTGTTTAGTACATGGTGAGGTCAAGGCATAAACAAAATGGCCTTATACAGTACATGGTGGGGTCAGGGTATATAGAAAATTACCTAGCATACCTCAGTGTCTGTTTGTCTTTGAAAAAACAGTCCTCTGGAACTTTCAAGATATACCTGGAGTATACCTGGAGAGGGTTTCGGGGGTCAGTGCCCCTGCGTCCCGGTCAGTATACGATCAGAGAGGCTAGAAAAATATTCTGAAGATTATTCTTATTGGAAATTAAGGGTAGATGGTGTGAGGGAGCCTTAGTATGCCTGCAACAAGTCTGCAACACATCTTTTGCATGAATGAGACTTGTGCAGCATTTGGGAATCTCTATTGAGGAAACATTTTGCCAGCCAGTGGATTTTTCAGTCCAGGTGAGGGACTGATTATCTCAATTCTCTCCTCATCTTCTGCCATTCATTTCCTGTATTGGACTGAAGAAGCCACTGGCTAGTGAAACGTTTCCTCAATAAAGATTCACAAATGTTGCACAAGTGTCTCATTCCTCAACTAGTCAGTTTTCTGAACCATTTACGTCACATCTTTTGTGTACAGTGAGGGGACACCTAGAATAGTTCACTGCAAGATGAAAAAAGGCTCAGTAGTATACTACACAGCACTGCAATACACTTTACAAACAAATCACTGCTCTGTATCACCCCATCACTGCACTACACACTAAAAGAGTACCACTGTAATCTGCAACCACTATTACACTGTGCCACTACCACTTCACTGCTCATTATTGCACACCCAGGAAAGGAGCCAAATTTTAGTGCTGTTGGAGTGTGAGCAAAGTAACATTTATGAAGGGATTCAGGGAAACCAGTTAGCTGGACTTGAGTCCTGGAGATGGGAAGTACAGTGCTTGCACTCTGAAGGAGGGGTGGAGATAAATTGCAGTTTTTGGACTGTAGTGTTGGCACACCTCTGGTAAGATAGTGATGGAGTGAGTGATACAAGTGTTTCTTCTTTTTTGGGTCGCCCTACCTCGGTAGGAAACAGCCGATGTGCTAATAAAATAAAAAAATAAAAAATTCTCTCTTATTTACACCTGCTGCTATTACTTATAGGTGGTTTAGGACTGTTGTTAAATTTAATGGTATGAATGAAGAATAAATGTCACTGATGGTTATAGTTTGTGCAATTTGGGCACCAGTGAATATTTTGGGCAATGTCATACCATAGCTCTCGTATTCATGCCCTGTTGAGATAGGTCATTTTAAAGCATTATTTGCAGAAGAGTTCCTGGAGGGAGGTGAACGTCATTGTTAAACTGACAGTGTTTTGAATAATGCATTCCTCTTACAGGTTGTACATGAATGTTATACTATACCAACGAAATGAAGAATTAGACACACGTGCAACACCTGGGTATCTTTTTTTGTAGATGTTTTACCATCCAGTAGCTTTATCATTGCAAATTCAAGGATGTAATGGAAAGACTGTATAACTATATACAGAAGATGAGGCATTCAATTCCTCAGCCTTGGAGTTGGTGAAAAGCACCGTAGTCTTCAAGACTACAATGCTCTCCACCAACTCCAAGGCTGAGGGACTAATTACCTCATCTTTTGTCTGTAGTTCTACAGTCTTTCCATTATGTCCTTGTATTGTGCCGATAAAGCCAGTGGAGGGCAAAATGTCTACAAATAAAGATACCCAGATGTTGCATATGGCTCTAATTCTTCATTCTTTGAACAGTGCATATATTCTTTCATCAAATCCATATCCATTCTTTCAG